CTTATTCCACTGAGCCATCTCCCCGGGCCCTTTTATACAATTTAGAAAAATTCCGATTTTTATTAGTACATGTCTGCAGTGAGTAATTATGGCACTCGTCATGGTGAGCTGGTACATGTTCATAACACGTCTTAAGTTGCTGGACTTTTTTTTTTTTTTTAAAGTTTGTATTTTATTTTATTTTTAATTTTATTTATTTAAATGTGTGTGTGTGTGTGTGTGTGTGTTTGGCCTGCTCAGCCCACCAGGGGGCGCGGCTGGCTGGCGTGTGGTGCTGGGGAATTGAACCGCGGTCCCTGTGCTTTGCTAAGCTTGTTCTAAGTAGGTGCTTTAGACCACTGAGCCATCTCACCAGCCCTGGACTTCTTTTTAAATAAAAAAATAACTGTAGTAAGAAAAGGACCTAAAATGAGAGATGATTATAATCTCATCTAGGGCAAAGGGAACAAAGGAAGAACTGATTTAAAAGAAACTGTAGGGAGGCGGGTGGAAGTGGCGCGGTGCGCTGGTACTCTTGGAACCCTCTGGCCCTGTGAGGGTGATCCTAAAAGATTGCACCTGATGTGGACTTTATGCAAAGCTGGTCGCTGACAGCTCGTGCATAGGAACAAGAGATGATGTTGGAGCCAAAGGAAGAGGAGCAGTCTTCAGAATATGAAACTCAGGGCTGGTGAGATGGCTCAGTGGTCTAAAGCACCTACTCAGAACAAGCTTAGCAAAGCACAGGGACCGCGGTTCAATCCCCAGCACCACATGCCAGCCAGCCCCGCCCCCTGGTGGGCTGAGCTGGCCACACACACACACACACACACACACACACACACACAAATAAATAAATCAAATTTAAACAAAAAAGAATATGAAACCCAGCTACCAGGGAACCACAGTACCAGTCAAGAGGTCTTCCGCCAGCACTTTAGACAGCTCTGCTACCAGGAAGTTCCTGGTCCCCAGGAGGCCTTGTGCCAACTAGGGTACTTTGTTGTGAGTGGCTGAGGCCTGAGAGCCACACTAAGGAGCAGATCCTGGAGTTAGTGGTACTGGAACAATTCCTGACCATCCTGCCAGAGGAGCTCCAGTGGGTGCGGGGACATCACCCTAAGAGTGAAGAAGAGGCCGGGACTGTGCTAGAAGACTTAGAGAAAGGACTTGAACCAGGACTGCAGGTTCCAGGACCTGCATGTGGACTTGCACAGGAAGAGCCATGGGAGGAGAAGGCACCTCTGGGACCAGAACAGGCAGCAGGCATCCAGCTCCAACCTCAGGAGATCCAGTTCAAATGTGAATTTCAGGAGACCCAGCCCTTCCCAGAGAGTGGTGAGAAACAGAGTTCTGGGGAGGAAGAAGAAGAAAAGAAAAGAAAAGAAGATCTTCCAGAACTCAAGGAAGAAGAATCACTGTCACAGCCACCCATTACTGAAGTGGAATCACACATATTCTTGGAAAACCTTACCACTGACACCTCAACATTTGAAGCTACCCCAGA